AAGAGGGGGTTAATTTCATTTTTTGAAAATTTTGACAACGCCATTTGAAAAAGCGACCCCGAAAATAGTAGGAAATGGTACTTTTGAAATTTTTTTAGCTTTCTTTTAATAGTTGTACGAAGTTAAAGTTCAAGTCGGAAAACAGCACATTTGGGCGTTAAAGGGTTAAAGTCTTGTAATTCAGTAGTTTTTGGGTTTTGAGAAAATTGTTATTAGGGTTTTTTCTCGAACTCCATGGGTGGCTCACAGAACTCTGATCAGAACTACAAGAAATCTTAATTTAAAAAAAACAAATTTTTTTGAATCTTCAATGTCTTGTAGTTCAGTAGTTTTTAGGTTTTGAAAAAATTCTTATTAGGATTTTTTATCAAACACTATTGGGGGTTCACAAAACTCTGATTAGAACTCATAGAACTTTCAATTTAAAAAAAAAAAAATTTATTTTGAAACATAAAAGTCTTGTAGTTTAATAGTTTTTACACGGAGAAAAAGGAATTGTTAAATCTACTAATTAATTGTTAATATAGAACTAGCAAATCTGATTTGTTGTTGCAACAATTTTTTTTGTTCTACAAACAAATAAATTGTTATCACAACAATTTTGATTTGTTAGGAGAACAAAAAAACTGTTTCAACAACAAATCGATTTGCTAGTTCTATATTAACATTAATTAGTAAATTTAAGAATTCCTTTTTCTCCGTGTAGGTTTTGAAAAAATTGGTTTCAGGGTTTTTATCGAACACTATTGGGGGCTCGCAGAACTCTCATCAGAACTCTTAGAACTCTAAATTTAACAAAAAAAAGAATTTTTTTAAACTTTAAAGTCTTGTAATTCAGTAGTTTTTGGGTCTTAAGAAAATTGTTACCTATTATAGTTATTTTATCGAACAGTATTGGGGGCTCACAGAAATCTGATTAGAACTCATAGAACTTTCAATTGAAAAAAAAAATTTCTTTTAAAACATGAAAGTCTTGTAGTTTTGCAGTTTTTAGGTTTTGAAAAAATTGTTATAAGAGTTTTTTATCGATCTAGATGGGGGGCTAACGGAACTCTAATCAGAACTCTTGTAACGTAACATTATAGATTTTTTGAAAAATTCTCGTGTTTTCAATTATTTTTTTATGACTTCGAATTATCAGAACTATTCGAATAAAATGTAGGGAACTCTAGAACCCTATTAAAACCACTCAAAACTCTAATTATAAATCCACTTTTTCAATAGTGGGGGACTGCGTGAAGTTGGCCCCCTATTATGGAAAAACTTATTTTTTACTATTTAATAGCCGGAACTATTTTTAAAAACTATCAGGAACTCTAGAACTATTAAAGAAATGTTTTTTTTAAATGAATAATTAATAAACAATTTTTTATTTTGTTAATCTTTGAGCACTAATTGAGCACTAAATAATAGGCTATCGATAAATATTTTGTTGGTGTTTTTATTGCGTTTTTCGTTATGGTCTGGCTAACGGATTACTCACTCATTCGAAAAAATTTTTTTTTTTAAATAAATAATTAATAAAAAAAATTTTTTATTTTGTTGATTCTTGAGCACTAATTGAGCACTAAATAATAGGCTAATTGTAAATATTCTGTTGGCGTTTTTAGCGTGTTTTTCGTTATGTCCGGCCAGCGGATCGCTCACTCATTTGAATAAGTTTTTCTTTTAAATAAATAATTAATAAAAAAAAATTTTTATTTTGTTAATTTTTGAGCACTAATTGAGCACTAAATAATAGGCTAATTGTAAATATTCTGTTGGCGTTTTTAGCGTGTTTTTCGTTATGTCCGCCCAGCGGATCGCTCACTCATTTGAATAAGTTTTTCTTTTAAATAAATAACACAAGCCTGCAAAAAAATAAAAATTTCCCTTGTCTGAGATCGAGAAGTCATTTCCCGCAGTATTTGGTGCGCTGAATCCGAATCTGGCAACGAAAACCTCCCATCACGTCAGGATTTTGAGAAAAGTGGGGGTAAATTCCTAAAAATCATGTTTTTCGCAGTTTTTGAAAATTTCTACCGGGTAAGTCCGACGTGCTAGAGACTTGTCATAGGAGTCAAATTAAAGCCTGAACCCTGTACTTTAAGAAAATAAAGCGATATTGCTGACAACAAACTAAATTAGCCGTCAAAAATGATTTTTTTAACAGTTGGCAATCATAAAAATTGACTGACACTGTCCGTAAATACAATTATTTTAAAAAATGATTGGATTCGCTTAGAATTTATTGCTTTGGGGTTTTCGGGGTCGTTGCTTACAAATATGATGTCAAAATAAAAAATCTGTAGTTGGATTCATAATCAACGACCCTAAAAACCTCCGAGTAACAAGTTTCAAGTGAATTTGATAAATTCTGAAAAATAGATCCGCCATATTGTATCCGACATTTTGAATTTTAATAATCTGACAACATATTCGTAATCAGCGACCCCAAAAACCCCTGAGTAACAAATTTTAAGCGAATTTAATCATTTTTCAAATAGTTTTATTTACGGACAGTGTTAGTCAATTTTTATACTTGACAACTGTTAAAAAAATCATTTTTGATGGCTAATTTAGTTTGTTGTTAGCAATATCGCTATATCTTCTTAAAGTACAGGGTTCAGGCTTTAATTTGACTCCTATGACAAGTCTCTAGCACGTCGGATTTACCCGGTAGAAATTTACAAAAACAGCGAAAAACATGATTTTTGGGAATTTACCCCCACTTTTCTCAAAATCCTGACGTGATGGGAGGTTTCCGTTACCAGATTCGGATTCAGCGCACCAAATACTGCGGGAAATGACTTCTCGATCTCAGACAAGGGAAATTTTTATTTTTTTGCAGGCTTGTGAAAAAAAAATTTTTATTTTGTTAATCTGCGAACACTATTTGAGCACTAAATTATAGGCTAAGAAAACGAATTATAAAACGAATTTCAAACATTTTTAAGGTGTTCACTCTTTCAAAGAAATGTTTTTTATAAATAAATAATTAATAAACAATTTTTTATTGTGTTAATATTTAAGCACTAATTGAGCACTAAATTTTAGGCTATTGATAAATATTTTGTTGTTGTTTTTGACGTGTCTGTCGTAATGGTGCGGTTGGCGGATTACTCACTCAATCGAAAAATTTTTTTTTTTTTAAATAAATAATTAATTAAAAAATTTTTTATTTTGTTAATCTTTGAGCACTAATTGAGCACTAAATAATAGGCTATCGATAAATATTTTGTTGGTGTTTTTAGTGCGTTTTTCGTTATGGTCTGGCTAGCGGATTACTCACTCATTTGAAAAATTTTTTTTTTTAAATAAATAATTAATAAAAAAATTTTTTATTTTGTTAATCTTTGAGCACTAATTGAGCACTAAATAATAGGCTATCGATAAATATTTTGTTGGTGTTTTTAGTGCGTTTTTCGTTATGGTCTGGCTAGCGGATTACTCACTCATTCGAAAAAATTTTTTTTTTTAAATAAATAATTGATAAAAAAATTTTTTATTTTGTTAATCTTTTAGCACTAATTGAGCACTAAATAATAGGCTATTTATAAATATTCTGTTGGCGTTTTTAAAGCGTTTTTCGTTATGGTCCGGCCAGCGGAACGTTCACTCAGCAGAATCATTGTTTTTTTTAAATAAACATTGAGCACTAAATTGGGCAATATGGTACAAAAATAGCACTAATTGAGCACTAATTAATGGTATAATTTAAATTCATTTTTATGAAAGTGGTTCGGCCAGCTTCACAGACCTAAATTTTGTAATTTGCACAATAATAATAAATTGAATATCACGTTCCGCACATTTGCTAGTAAAATAATAAAATAAAATTTAAAAAAATGAATGAAATGAAAAAGAATAGTAAAGAACTAAAATACGAATAATAAGAATAATAAAAATACATTTTATCAATTCCAAACTGATAACTATGGACTCAATGGCAAAAAGAGAATGGGACGGGAGGACGAGTAGGTTTCATTTTTATGGTCAGATTACAGGTAACTTTTAATAACTCTACCTGCAAAAAAAAAAAAAAAAAAATTGAAATGAAATACGGGAGATGAAACCTCTTCCTTTTCCACTATTTATATATCGGGAACGAAGTGGAATGACGGAAAATACGCGTTGTCAAGCTTCCGGTTCAATAATCTGGCAGCGTCACTGAGCACGGAACCAATTTGCGATAATAACCATCGTGAGAAAATTATTCAATATCACTCGTCTTCCAAAAGCTCATTTTCCTCTTCAATTATATCCAAACTTCATATACTCAAAATATATGAACCTGATGATGAGGACTTTCTTTTTTCTCTCCATTTATACACGAAAGTTACAATTTCGATTTAGAAAAGGGAATTTAGAATTTTTTTCCCCTTTTTCAACTTATTTTACCTATAACGGATATTTTACACATTTCTTTAATTAATATTTTGTTTTACTTGAAACCAATATTTCGGTTTTCTCCAATTAATATATATTTTTAATTTATTTCAAATCAATATATCAGTTTTCTTAAAACCAATACTTCAGTTCATTAAAAATATTCAGTTCCTTATTTATTTATAATATTCAGTTCATTTATAAATATTATTTCAAATAAATATTTGTTTACTTCAAATAATATTTGTTTCTTTAAATCCAATACTTGAGTTAACTTCAATTATAATATTTTCGTCTATTCGAAAGGTACTACTTTAATTATAATATACCAAATATTAATTAACTGATTAACAAACTAAAAAAATAATTTCCAATTTTCTCTCCAAGTTTGATACCAAAGCAAACGGGAATATTCGTTCGATAATTGTTAATTAATTATTTAGCGAATTGTAAAATTTCCCCCCACATTCAAAAAGTAGTGAAATACTATACACAGAGGAGATATAAAAGTGAGAGGAAGAATGAGCATTTTGTATAGACACAATGTAATTTAGGCTTGGCCAATAATTTTTGGCCGATTCAAAGCAACAGAGAAAGAGAGAGATTGTTTTTTTGTTTGTTTTTTGACTGACCTTTTCCTCGAGTGCGGGCCCATTCTCCATTGCGTGCATAATGGCATCCGAAATGCGGGTGTCCAGCTGTCTGACCGCCTTTTCGGCGTTCAAGCCGAGAGTATCGCTAACACCGTCGACAGCAATAACCAGTCTTTCAACCGTTTCCACGTAACCAGACCACGCTAAATCGAGCTCCGATGCTGGTTCCGTCAGACAACCCCTGTCAAAAGAAAAAAGGTTTCTCCTTTAGTTCCACCTTCTCGCCAAAAACAAAATATATTGTGACTCAAAAATATCCAAACTACCAATCGATTTTTTGGAAGTAAATGAAAGGTATGGAGGCGAAATTGGAAGCAGAAAATAATGCTGCAATAAAAGGGACAACAAATGAAGGAGCTCAAGAAGATGATGAAGAAGAAGTAGCAGAAATAAAATTAGCATTAGAAACGGAAAAAGAAGTTGTAGCAAAAGTCGGAACAAAAGAAGAAGCACAACTAGAAACAACAGTTGATAAAGCGTCAAAAGTAGCACTAAATACAGAAGATGTTTTAGTAGAAACATTAGTAGCATCAATATTTAGGTCAAAACAAAAGCGAAATAAAAAAAAGCAGAAATAAAAGCAGAAGCAAAAATCTTGCTGAAGATGCTGCAACAGAAGTAGAAGCGAATTTTCCTGATAAAGACGAAGCAGAAACAAAATTAGAAACAAATGTTTTTGATAAAGATAAAGCAGAATTAGAAATAGAAGCAAACGTTACAGATAAAGCTGAAGCAGATAAAGTTGTAGCAAAAGTAGAAACAAAAGAAGAAGCAAAACTAAAAGCAACAGTTATGATGAGGCATGCAAAGTAACACTAAATACAGAAGAGGTTGTAGTAGAAACATTAGCATCATCAGTATTAAAGGTAGAAACAAAAGCAAAAATAGAAGCGAAAGCAAAAAACAAAAATAAAAGCAGCATTAACAGTAAAAAGAAATAAAGAAGCCAAAGAAAAATCAGAAATCGCATTAGAAACAGAAATAGAAGTTGTAGCAAAAGTAGAGAAAAAAGAATAAGCACAACAAGAAACAACAGTTGATATATCATTAGAAGTAGCACTAAATACAAAAGATGTTTTAGTAGAAACATTAATAGCATCATTATTAAAGGTAGAAACAGAATCAAAAATATAAGCGAAAGCAAAAATGAAAACAGAAGTAGGAGAATATTAACAGTAAAAAGAAATAAGAAAGGCAAAGAAAAATCAGAAATAGAAATAGCATTAGAAATAGCACTAGAAACAACAGTTGTATTAGAAAAATTATCATCATCAGTATTAAAGGTAGTAACAGAAGCAAAAATAGAAACAAAAGTAGAAGCAGCATTAACAGTAAAAACAAATAAAGAAACTAAAGAAAAATCAGAAATAGAAATAGCTTTACAAACTTAAATAGAAGTTTTAGCAAAAGTAGTAACAAAAGAACCAGAATCATAAATAGCATTAGAAACAGAAATAGAAGTTGTAACAAAAGCAGAACAAAAATAAAAACAGAAATAAACGCAGAAGCAAAAATCAAAGCTGAAGATGCAACAGAAGTATAGCAACTGTTTCTGATAAAGATAAAGCAAAATCAAAAATAGAAATAACATTAAAAACAGAAAAAGAAGTTGTAGCAAATGTAGAAACAGAAGAAGCTCAACTAGAAACAACAGTTCATGAAGCCTCAAAAGTAGCACTAAATACAGAAGATGTTGTAACAGAAACGAGAACAGAAATATTAGTAACATCAGTTTTGCAAGTGGAAACAGAAGCAAAAATAAAAACAAAAATGAAAGCAGCAATAACAGTAAAAACAAATAAAGAAACCAAAGAAAAATCAATAATAGAAATAGCATTTGAAACAGAAATAATAGAAGTTGTAACAAAAGTAGAAGCAAAAAAAGGAGCAGAATTAACAGTAAAAAATTAATAAAGAAATCAAAGAAAAATCAGAAATAGAAATAACATCACAAACTTAAATAAAAGTTTTAGCAAATGTAGTAATAAAAGAAGCAGAATCATAAATAGCATTAGAAACAGAAATAGAAGTTGTAACAAAAGCAAAAAAAAATAAATAAAAAAGAGCAAAACTAAAAGCAACTGTTGATGAAGCATCAAAAGTAGCAGTAGAAGATGTAGCAGAAATATTAGTAGCATCAGTATTATAGGTAGAAACAGAAGCAAAAATAAAAACAAAAATAGTAGCAGCATTAACAGTAAAAACAAGTAAAGAAACCAAAGAAAAATCAAGAATAAAAATAGCATTTGAAACAGAAATAATAGAAGTTGAAACAAAAGCAGAAACAAAAAAGGAGAAAAACTAGAAAAAACTGTTGATGAAGAATCAAAAGTAATAGTAGAAGCATTAATAGCATCAGTATTAAAGGTAGAAACAGAAGCAAACATATAAGCAAAAGCAAAAACCAAAATAGTAACAAAAACAAATGTAGAAATGACACTAAATGTAAAAACAAATAAAGAAACAAAAGAAAAAGCAGAAATAGAATCATAAACAAAAGTAAAATTTGTAGGAATGGTAGAAGCAACTTTTGAAGAAAAAGCAGTAGCAGGAAATATACCACACTTAGTAGTAGAAATACTAGTTGCATCAGGATTAAAGGTAGAAGCAAAAGCAAAAATAGAAGTGAAAACAAAAATAAAAACTATAATAGAAACAAGAACAAAGTATAAAGAAAAATAAAAACATAAGCAAAGTAGAAACAGTATTTAAATTAGAAGCATTAGCAATAGTAGAAGCAGAATTAAAAGCAAAAGTAACAAGAATAAAAAAACAGAAAGAGAGTACAGAAATACTAATAGTTAAAATAGAAATAGAAGCAAAAGTAGGAGTAGAAGCAGAAATAGAAATAGAAGCGAAAGCAGAAGTAGAAGCGTAAATAGAAATACAATCGAGAGCAGAAGCAGAAATAGAGGTAGAAGCAAAAACAGAAGTAAAAACTCCGAAAGAAAAAGCGCATGCAAAAGAAAATAAATATTCTCACCTGACGACATTCGTACAAAAGCCCTTGCACGTTCTCACAGACGACGATATCCCCTTGCATTTTGGACAATGTGTCATTCTCAATAAAGCTCTATAGCAATTTGATTGATGATGACTCGCTCCCGAGAATAATACACTGTCAGTTTTATCAAGAACCGTTTTGCCGAGCGTTAATGCCTGAACAAGAACACGCGTTGCTTCAAGACTCTTTGCAACTGAACGTGAAATTTGCTTTGGGATGTCGCCGAATGGCTGTATATCGTCCATCGTTTTATAAAGGCAATCCTTAAATTTATCCGTGAAATCCTGTTGACTTGGATTTACGGTACGATGGTAGGCAATTGGAAAGAGTTGCATAAAGAACTCGGTGAATCGCTCCTGCAGCATGTCACGTGAAAGCGGTTGCTGAAGGGTGTCAGGTGTATTTCTCGGCGAGACATAATCCACCATTGCTTGATAGAGAGCTTTGATCGACGGTCTGCTCAATACGGCTATTGATCGGTACACCTGGTCAAAGAGAATTAATGTTTTATTCTCCGATTGTCGAGCCAATGCTGTTACGGTTTCTGTAACAAAAAAAGACAACATTCAGTTTTTTTTCTGCTTTTTATAAGACAACTGTTTTTGCTTTTTATAAACAATAGAATTTAGTTTTCAGTCAGAATTAAGTTTTGGAAGAAATGTAACAAAATTAGAAATGTTGTTGGATAATAGTATCATTAGTATATACCAATATGTTGATGTTATGTTGAACCTAAAACAGTTTTCTAAGGATATCGAATTGAGACAAGAAGTGAATCAAAACCGTTGCTTCGCAACACTTTTGATTCGCTTTTTGTCTCAATGTGATAACCTTAGAAAACAGGTAAATGTTTAGGGTTAACATGAAAAGCTTTCACTAAAATAGAATCTTTGGCAGCTCTAAAAAAGATTAATCTGTAAATAATCCGAAAATCCAATCCGTAAAAAAGATTTTGATTTTCGTCTTCTTTACGGATTAGACCAAGAAAATAAAAACAAAAAATGCAAAAGATACAGATGCAAATGCATCAAAAGATATCATACAAACAAAATGAAGAATAACATTGCAATGAGAAATGAAGAATAACATTAATAATTGTCAAAAAAAAAGTCAAGAGATCAGTATAACATTATTTTCTCAGTAAATTTTGCTTCGCCTCCTCGGATGCAGTGATCCGCCTTTTCGAGTGTTGCACTCGGGCAGATTATCGACATAACCACCTACTCGAGAGAGTTGCTCGAAAATACAAGAATAAAGTACAATAAAGAGGAAAGTCAACCGCATTCTTGAGTCTGCGATTCTGAATAGGCCATTGTCGAAGGGGAAGAATTTCGTGCTACAGCAAAGGTATAAAGCGGCGCATATATAAAATGCGTAAGCACACGCGCGCACACGTTTCATGTGCTTCAATCTTCAGATCCTGAGATCGCGATTCATCCTCGGAATCTCTCTCCTCCTTTAAACCAGCGCGTCCACTTGTATATACTTCCACTTCTGGAACCTCTTCCATGATCTTGAATCTTGAAACAACTTGCTGTGGACAAGTCGGACTTTCGGTGAGAGAAACAGAGAGAGAGAGAGCCGAGGGTCTGGGTGGGGAAAAAGTGGACAAGAAAAGGAAAGGTCGAGAGCAAGATTCTTACGTGGGATTTTTATTGCTTCATTTGTCGCTACCGATCACATAAAACTAAACCAGAAGATTACACTTGTGTGTGGGGAAGATCCCGCATTCCTCTCTGCTTGCTCCAACTTCTTAAAATCCAAGGACCAGATTTCTCTCCACTAAAATAATTCCAACTCAACTTATTTAATCGCAAACTTCTCTCTGCTATAAACCTCCTCTAAACTCTTGTTTTTAAAAAATCGAAAGTGTAGCAAAAAGTAGAAGTAGTTGTGGTAGTAATTGTCGTAGTAGAAGAAAGTTCGAAAAATGAGAAAACCAAAGAAAATAGTACAAAAAGAAAAAAACCTCGTAATGTAATTAAAAACTAAAAATTCGATATCGTTCTTAAAAGCGTCATAACCAAAAAGAACGCGAAACCTTCGGCAGCTTCTCTCTGTTGCGGTCTCCGGACTCAGCGTGGTACAGTTCCCACGTACCTTTTACACCCCTCCCTAGGCCCTGTTTGACCAACACAACGAATTGGTCGTATACAAACACAGAGTGAGAGAGAGAGAGATTCACGAATGTGCATTATACACTGGCAAAGGCAGAAGCAGCAACAGCATCAGAAGAGGAACAACTCTCGCGCGATTCTCTCCCACACACGGTGGCGCTAAAATAAAATGACCAACGTGGAATGCCGAAGCTCTCCATGGTCCCGCCTGCCTGCCTGCCTGGGCCAAGAAGATGGTTCAACAAGAGCGAGAAAAAGAGAAAGGGAAACCCGACGAGGACAACCTGTGAAAGAATACCGACATGAGAATAAGAAGAGATACACAGAGAGAGAATATAAAAGGGGCGAGAAACGATGCTGTAACCAGAGATTGGTATTCGGCCCCTTAGGAAAGGGACCAAGGGACTAATTAAAAGAGACCACTTGTGCATTTATTTTCACTTCAATGAAGATTTTCATTTCTCGAAAATAGTGCCACTGAAAATTTTTACAATTTAATGAATTGACATAGAAGCATTAACTTATAATTGGAATTTTCATCTTGATGCAACAGAAGTAGAAGCAAATGTTCCTGATAAAACAAAAGCAGAAACAGCACTAGAAACAAATGTTTCTGATAAAGATAAAGCATAATCAGAAATAGAAATAGCATTAGAAACAGAAACAGAAGTTGTAGCAAAAGTAGAAGCAATAGAAAAAGCTAAACTAGAAGTAACAGTTGATGAAAAAGCAGAAATATCACTAGAAGATGTTGTAATAGAAGCATTAGTATTAAATGTAGATACAGAAGCGAAAGTAAAAACAAAAATAGAAGCAGCATTATCAGTAACAACAAATAAAGACACAAAAAACAGATGTGGTAGCAAATATTCCTGATGAAGACGAAGCAGGAACAGAACTAGAAACAAATGTTTTGATAAAGATAAAGCAGAATCAGAAATAGAAATAGCATTAGACACAGAAACAGAAGTTGTAGTAGAAGTAGAAACAAAAGAAGAAGCAAAATTAAAACAACAGTTGATGAAGCAGCAAATACAGAAAATATTGTAGTAGAAACATTAATAGCATCAGTATTAAATGGAGAAACAGAAGCAAAATAATAAGCGAAAGTAAACATAAAAATAGAAACCAATAACAGAAGAAGCAAATGTTCCTGATGAAGAAGAGGCAGAAACATAACTACAAGCAAAAGTTCCTGATGAAGAAGAAGCAGAAACAGAACTAGAAGCAAAAGTTACAGATAAAGACGAAGCAGAAACAGAACTAGAAGCAAAAGTTACAGATAAAGCTGAAGCAGCAAAAGAACTAGCAGCAAAAATTTAATTTTAAGATAATGCAGAATGAGAAGTAGAATCAAAAGCAGAACATCCAGAAGAAAATCTAAAACCAAAAGTTAAAGTAGAAGAAAAATTAAAAGCACTAAAAGAAGAGAAAGAACAAGCCCCAGATAAAACAGCATCAAACGAAAAATACAATATCTATTCCAATCCACTGAGAATTGAATAATTAAAAATTTAATCTCTTTAATCAGAACTTTGCTTCCCGGTCTCCAATCCAATAATCTTTCGCACAATACTCGACTCGTTCAGCAAAAAATTCCAAGCATTCGTTAACTATACATCAAAAAAACAGTTAACTTTATTAAAAGTTAACAACCGATTGTTTCACAATTTTTTACTTTCTTTTTATTACTAAAAATTGCATAAAGAAAAAAGAAAGGCGAATATAAAAGCGATAAGATAGAAATCAAGTATGGAATAAAGTGGCAAACGAGATAAACCACGGGGTATTTTAAGGCGGTCGAATCGATCGCGAAAGGCATAATTCTTCTCTCCTCCCTTCCCCTTTTTCTCTCTCTCTCTCTCTCTCTCTCTCTATTTTTCATTCTCTTTTCCCCTCTCATTCTTTCACACTTGGTATTCTCTGGCTGGGTTATAACGCTCGCAAAGCATCACACCTCTCGATAACGAGTCTCGCTTTTTAGAGGAAGGGAGGGGAGGAGGACCCTTACAGGCCCCGCGGGAAATGTGTATAGATAAAATCGTGAGCGCAACGAGAGATCATCTTGTGGCGAAATTGGAAAAACGTGGGAACATTTATATATAAATGACCAACAAAATGCAAAAGAGAAGATACAAGAGAGAAAGGATTTCATGAATGGACCAGACACTGTTATATTTAATTGGCCATGAATAATTGCGATACACTCATCGTTTCGTTCCATTTCGTTTCATTTTATTAAACACAATGCCTTTACAGAATTTCGATGCGAAACCTCAAATTGCAAAAGTAGGAATAATATGTATGAAGAAAAACATTTCACAATAAAATATATTGACCATGATGGCTATTGTGTATCGAACAAACCCTCGGGCAAATCAATCCAATGGCATAAATTTGTACGAATTTTTACAATATTCAAATAATGTTTAAAAATATTCATAGAAAAGAATAGTAACGGAAAAGTAGTTGTATTTACAGAGTATAGGTACTATATCATCTTTAATATCTTTAATAGTATATGATTAGAGAGTATGAAATAGTATTGAAATAATTTTGATAATTATGGAATTAAAAATAGCTGTAGTATAAGAAAATAGCTGATGATGTAATTAAGGAATGGTATGCTGGTAGTATTAAAAGGTAGTATCTATCATTAGAAGGTTCTAGCATTAAAAGTATTATTATAGGTGGTAGTATTAAAGAAGATGGTACATAATCAAAAGAGGGAAACATTTAAAGATAGTACCTAGCACTTACGGATGGTAGCATTAGAAACATGATTATTAAAAGATGGTTCCCCTAAATGATGGTTTCATTAAAACATAATTGTGGTATTATTACAGGATAATATCATCAAAAGCAGGAATTATCCTAATATGATACGCTGCTTTCTTTAAATAATGGTAGCTTTAAAAACAAACCCGACTCAAGGGAGTAGCATTAGTATCAATGCTGGCACTAAAATTGGCATTATCAAAAAATCATTAAAATTGGTACTAAAAACTGTTTAGGCAAGAGTTTAAATTTAGCAATATTCACAAATTGCATTAAGATTAGTGTTACTAAAGGAGTCAATCTGTTAAGGAAATAATAACCTAGAAATAATAAACTAAAAAACAAGAATTTAAAATATGTGTCAGAAAATATTAAAAGTACCATAAGACAGAAGCTTTTCATGTATAATTATCACACCAAAGTCTAAAGTCATCCGTACAATTTTCACAGTTAAAATGTGTCTCAGTGGCACATTAAAAATGTCCCTGGAATCCTCCCAAATCTCTACAAAGTCTCATTTACCACAATTCTCTTGAGCTCACACAAAAGCTCTTGAAATCTTTAAGCATACTGCTGCTCTAAACCATAAATCTCCCCAAATCACAGTTCCATTAACTTCCACTAAAATATATCCTGAATTTTAAGATTC